ATTCCATCCTTCCACTGCCTCTTTCAACTCACGTTCACCACCCACAAAGTTCACAGAGCACACTTCTTCCAGTGTCTTCTAGTCCTGGTCCAGTATTATGTCATTTCCTCTGGGAATATTCCTGTCCTGTTGCTGTCGGTTGCCACCAAACATGAACCCAAAATCACCAAAGAAACTGGAGAAGATATCGCTGTGAAAGCTGTGGTAACCCTCTTTGAGCCCGTACTCTCCATACATGTCATACTGTTTCCTTTTCTCCTTATGTGAGAGGACCTCATAGGCTGCCCCCAAGTCTCCGAACCTGTCCAGGGCTTGCGGGTCGTCTTGGTTTCTGCCGTGGTGTAACTGCAAAGCCAGCTTTCTGTAGGCCTTCTTGATGTCCCTGATTGATGCACTCTTGTGTTCATTTGCATCAACAGCATGAACTAAAACGACCATTTTAATCTCTGGATCATTTGAAGAGATCTTTCCAAAATCAAGGTTCACTGGCCAATTAATTTCTGGTTCAGCAAGAAACTTTGGCCCTGACAACCAGGAATCATCCTTGACAAACTTCCATTTAAGGCTCATAGCTCGCTGTTCTACAGCCTTCCTATTATTTGGCATTTTTACCTGATTGCACCTAAAAGGTAAACCAATGGTGTAATGACCATCAACCAACTTAACAGAGTCCATCACTGACTTCATAAACTGCTTTGTCTAGAGAAGATCAGCAAACAGCTCATCCTGAATACATTCTGGAAAATCAGCCTTCATTTGACGTTCCCACAGCTCATCCAATCTTGCCACGGAAATCCTATTGACACGCACATCAAAAATGTCAGTCTTACAATCCTCTCTGAGAGGACCATTCACCGTCCAACCCAGCATAGTTTTTACTGCATAGGGACCTCCATCCTGACTTCTAACAACATCCCATGGCTCTAAAGCCTTGGGCACATTGGTCCCGATCAACAGGTCTACCCCGGAAATTATCTCCAGTATCTTAATATAGCGCAAATGTGGCCATCTATCGAGATCTTCCTGTCGGGGAATATTACATCGATGAACAGGCATGCTTTTCTGAGTAAATAAGTCAGGCAAGTCACAGTAGTGATCTAAATCCAAACCAGCTACTTCCAAATCTGAAAC